GTTTTATGAAACACTCGTTTGACATCAGATCAGCTTTTTAAACAGGCAGTAAAGACACAGAATTTCTCCTGTTTTATTGCCCCACCAACCAACTTCAACTCCTTCTTGGTCTAATCACTAAAAAACTCTTAAAAACTGTCAACACAAGTGTTGCACAGTGTTACCTATCATGACAGTATTAGACATATTTTATCTTTTTGAACGACCACATCTTCTCCAATACCTTTCCAAACAAACTTTGTCAACAGTGTTGAAAAAATTAATCCGAATGTGACCAGCAGTACTCAGACGCGTCATAATGTATCTGAAAAAGTCCTCGAAAATCAAACAAAACCAGTTGAGATAAAAAAAAAGCATTCTGTATGCCAAAACTGTAAAGTTTGTCAAAATTATTTCTTTAACAATAACTTCTGGTTGATTTTTTCTGTTCATCCTTCTTATAATGACACTGTAGATTATAAGTTTTAAAAGTGATATTATCACTTACTTGCCAGCCGCTGCATTTTTAATAATAAAATCGGCAAGCTTCATTTGATTTGCTTCATTCGTTACATGAAACTCACATGTCCACTGGCACACTACGATATTATTGCTATCCAAGATTCCATCTCGTAAAAAATACGGAGCGCTATCGTACTAAAAGTTTATCTCACCATCGTATGCTATATTCTTAAGCAACCAGCTCCAGTGACAGATCATGATTAGGAGCATCTAAGTACATCTAGTAATGTAAATAAAGTGTCAACCTCTGCACCCTCGTTATCCATAAGTAGAATATCAATAACATGCTTTATTCCTACGTGTTCTTTTAAAAAAGTCAGAAGATCCACATGCTGCATTTGCACAGTTTGATAATGCCAGTTACCATTATCTTAAATCGATGATGAAGTGTTGTTCTTAATATTTGACGTCAGAAAAAAAACTGAGGTATTTTTTGAATAAGGAGTAGACCAACAAAAAACTGATCCTAGATAAAGCAGGAAACTCACATCCAAGCACAGAAGCGTTTTTCAGACCGCTGATTGCCCCTACTGCCATCTTGAAGTATTTTCCGATAGGTTCAAATATTTTTCTATTTCTTTCTTCGATTGGATCGGCACCAAAAAACTTGCATTTTTTTGACATGTTCTGTTTTAGCTTTTTTTCAACCTCTACGTCGTCGCCGATACCAAGTGTTACGATGTTACACTCTTCATCTTCCTGAATCGTTCAGTGATTGATGTGGTCGACAAATATTCAACGTTATTAGATACGTTTCGCCAGTATCTTTTGGCTTTTGTTAAGTGGACTATGAATTTCTAGTGGAATAGCCTTACTGCGCAATATGCTTAAAGCGGCTATTGAACGGAATCTATTGACACAGTATCGGCACGCACTTCAAAA